TGGCCGCCCAACGTCGAAGCAAACGCAGAGAGGCTGGCACGATGGAGACAAAGGCCGTGACTGTCACGAAGGCTACGTACAGAAGTATGCTTGTCAGTAAAACTCTTCCTGCAATCTTCGACAAATTTCCCATGGACGTACAACGTATTGTGGTACAGCATGACAATGCGAAGCCCCACGCAGTCTCCTTCGACAGCGAGGTTATTGCTGCAAGCAAGCTCAACGATCGGCATATTGTGTTCGGTGACCAGCCAGGAAACAGCCCGGACTTGAACGTCCTTGACTTGGGCTTCTTCAACTCGATCCAGTCGCTCCAGCAAAAGATGCCCGCTTTCACAGTTGACACGTACCTTGCTGCTCGTCTTGCTGACCTTTGATGGAACCTAATGCATTTTTGAACAATATAATTGATTGAACTTCATATTCACCCAATATTGTGAAATGACGACAATAATACCCGGATTTTCACAATATGAATGACGACAATCAAAACCGGACAGAGGTAGTATATATTTTCAAGTGACAAACAGGGGTCCGTGGCAAGGCATTTTCAAATGAGCGAGTGATGACTTCACATGGCATGTCCTCCCAGGCTTCAATAGTGCGCTTAACCATAGCCATGCGTACGTCGGCTGCAGAGAAGAACTGCTTTTCGTGATGCCACTTGTAACGAAGCGTCCTTTTCAATGCCCCCATGACATCAACAACCACAAGTAGGAGAACACTTGATTTGATAGTATATCCAAGATAAATCACGCATGATATCATGTACCAGGTCGTAGTAAAAATTGTCACCCATTGGCTAAAACTTGCAGATTGAAGAATGCGACATTGGTGTCATACGTGGTCAGCAAAGACGCCAGCATAGACCTCACAGATCGCCTGGCACACCCATAGACAGAGACCAACGCCGGTATCCGGCGCAGCAAATCAATGGGCTAGGCCGAGGCGGTCCCACGACTACTGCGCGCGGCCCTTTTGACATTGCTCCCAAACCCCGACGTCCTGAAGGATCCATGGGGTCTCGTCGTTGGCTGCTTGGGGGCCACAGCATATCCGGAT